TGAAGTTATTTCTATGTATAATTAATGCATTTGCTAAATTGCTGTGTAAAAGATCACTTTTGTGTTCAGATATGTTTTTCTAAATTTCTGCAAGTTTGCCCAATGTATTGTAAAGAGCAGTTGTGACAGTTTATTTTATTTTTATACACAAAAATCTTTTAAGTTTTAATGATGGCCATGTCCCATTGTGTCACATATCAATAGTCTTTATAACAAATCAGATATATATTTATCCATGTCACATCTTTGATACTGCAGCAATTTGACATTTTATTAAATACCATGCACTACTCTTAACAATTACAGGAGTATAAGCCTACTCTACAACCCAAAAACATCTCCAAGCTGTTACTAGCCAATGAGTGAATGTTTGTATCTTTCAGGTCATCAGGTGTCATCTGCTCGTTTGCTTGGCATCCTCACACAACAAAATTTGCCTATGCCCTTATGGATGATTCGGTGAAAGTTCATACAGGTGGTATGGCGCTGGTGCCAATTCTCAGAACCAAACTACAGAAAAGTGTCACAGATTTAGCTTGGCAGTGAGTAGATTCTCTGGAATTTACTATTTGGCACTTCTGCTTTTATTTCTCTTTGCAGTGGTGACAAAAAAAAGATAGGGGTAAAAAAAAAAAAAAAAATATTGAATATTGTATGTTAATGATGCAATTGTTGAACCATTGTTTCCTGTGTACTTTTTTTTTTTTTTTTTTTTTCTCACACCCCCAAACAAGGCAATAAAGCCAATAAGACACAAGGGTCACTGAGTCTTAAAGAATATGATATAAACTAGTATTAAGTAGAGAGGGCAATAAAATATTAAGACAGAAGCTAATGATTGACATTGCATTTAAATTTTTTAAGACCAAAGTTGACTGAAAAGCAAGAAGATGCAAGACAGATCTACAAGTGAGAAGTATGAAAGAATAAACTGTTAGCATAGAACTTAGGGTTACATCTAGTAATTTCAACTGTAAAATGGTGGGACCTAGTTTCCAACCTAGTACTGCGCTTAAATTCGTAAAGTCATGGTACCATAGACAAAAGCTCATCAAAACAGTTACCATAAAAATATTCATAGAAAAGCCACAGGGAAGCTATGTGATGACAATGGGAAACTGACTGAAGCTGAGATGCCAGGACCAATATTATTGCAGATTCTTTGGATTTTATCAGGGATCTCTAAATACATAGCAGAAGCAACAGACCATATGTGGCAGCAGGGATGAATGTTAGACTTTTAATATGTAAGTTAATTCTAATGAGAAAAAATGTCTGTTAAAAAGTTTAATGAATGTGAGATTTTGATCATTTTAAAAGGCCTTTTTTTTTTTTTTTTATGATTTTGTACTATAACGTTTATTTCAAATGTATGCAGGACACCAAACTCATTCAGATATAGCTAAACTGTCCACTTATATATATATATATATATATATATATATTTCATGAATCATTCATACAAAAAACAAATATAGGGGTTAATAATTTAAATGGCGAGAATACATCATCGTAAACAATATAAATAAGACAACCAACCCCGAACCTGTATATGAATGATATGATCCCTGTTTATAAATTCCAGTTGCATAAGGTCTTTTTAATTTTTTTTTACAAGCTTTCGTCTGTTCCTTCAGACATCATCAGGTATGGAAGTTGATTTTGTTCTTGTTTTTACTTCTCGGTAATAAGAGGACAATGAAAATAGAGATGTAATCCAAAAAAATGCTATGAGAAATGTTATTGTTTTGGAACGTGTGGTTGCAACGCTGAGTTTGAATTTAAATTTTAAGGTTGTGCGTTTTTGTACAAATATAGCAATAAGAGAATTCTTTTTTACTGGTAGATTTTCCATCAATATGGCATGAACTATATTGTTCAATAATTACAGTAATGTCACGCTTGTTATACGAAAGTTGCACGTTGGATCAGTTATTTTAATTTCAATTAAAAGGTGCAATTATAATTTATAAATTCAAGAATTTTTTGTATGAATGATTCAGGAATTTATAAATTATAATTGCACCTTTTAATTGAAAAATATATATATATACACACACTACTGCTTTCTCAAACTGATAGATTTGTCAGATGGAGACTTTCATATCAATTCTAAGACCAATGGTAAAAAATGGCTTTGTGCAAATGAATCTTGTGTCTTCTATGGGATTACATAAGCATGGGCGCTTGTTAGATTGTCATTTAGTGATTGGAAAAGATGTTGTATTTGTGATCAAATGTTTTTTTTTTTTTTTGTTTTGTTTCATAGTGTATAAGTTTCCTGATTAAACACTGATTGATTTCCTGAAGGATCTCTGAGTATTCATTTTTAACCATCATGTCTCACAAAAAAAGTGCTTCTACCACTGAAAGAAACAAGATCTGGACGAAGAATCTCATGTGATTTCAAGAATCACATAAAAGAACCGTTCCACTAGAAGAACAATCACTGAAAAACAAAATCAGGATACTACTCAAAATTGAAATTTTTGGTCGCTATCTGTTCCTTGGAGCATCCATCAAAGGAAGGAAAGAATGTATAAAAGAAATCTCTAAAGAAGTAACGAGTTTATGGTAAAAGAAATTAAATTTCCCAAATTTATCAAGTCATACAACTGAATCAATTGCTGAACACCTATGATGAATGTGTGAAATGAAGAAAATATGATCCATTGAATGAAATCTTTGACATCGCGAATAAAAATGTTGAATGGCTGTGTAGTGAGGACAGGCAGTTATATCAGCTTCAGATCAAAAGCAAAGGACATGACGAATATACAACTGGAAAGACCGCAAGTTCCAAAACTATTCATCCATCTAAAAGAAGAAAAGTGACCTTGGAGCAAACTTCAACAACAATAACTTCAATTTTCGAATGTGAGACCCAATAAGAGAGTTAATATGAAGAGTCTGAAAGTTCTGAAGAATATTCTCCAAGAAAAAGGAAGAGAAATATAGCAAAATTAGAACTGCAACCAAATCAGTAACATCTTCAAACTTATCAGCAAGTGTTTGTCAGCAATTATCCCAAGAAGGGATTGACGTTAAGACACCTTCTCAATCTGGTATTTAAAAAATCTGTTTAAACTTAAAGAAGAAATGAAGCAAACACTACACTAAGAAAATGGGTCATTGTATTTTGATGGCTAAGAATGCTTATTTTGAAGAATGAAAGGAGAAATTAAGTTAGAATCAATAGATCTAACAAATGGAAAAATAGATAATTATCAAAGGATAACATAATTTTTGCTTATTTGTAAGTTTGTATGTTATTCTATAGCTATAAACTGTTAAATACAATATAAAAAATACCTATGTATTATCCAATTACATCATCAGCAAATTGAAAAAATAAAGGTTTTGAAATAATTTTTTTTTTTTTTTTTTTTTTTAAAGCCTTATTGTGTATACTGTAAAAACAAATTTTCATTTTGTGGTGACCTTTTCAAGAAATAAAATAAAACGGATTAATGCTTTTTCATTACTTTTGAACAAAAGTTCATCGATTTATAGGGTTACTGTCATAACCCTTATCACAAAAGCATCAAACCAAGGGTCACAAACTCGCATCAATTCAACTAATATATATATATATATATATATATATATATATATATATATATATCTTTTTATTTGTTTTGTATTTTCTTCATGAGAAACTGCTTTAATTCCTAATCAAAATTTTTTTTTTTTTTTTTTTTTTTAAGACCATTCTCAGCTTCTGTGTTGGCAGTTGCTTGTCGTTCCTGCATTCTTATTTGGCATGTTGATCCAATGTCTCTGGCTGAAAGGTGAGCTAAATCATTTAATATCTTACTTTGGTCTACATTTTTCTGCGTTGTAGTAGTAAATAGGTAATAATGACATTTTTGAAGTAAATTGCTCTATGGGAGACTAAAATATACTGTGGACCACCAATTGGCTATTTTTTTTTTTTTACATGGACCCCAATTGAGAACCACTGATTATTAGAGACAACATTTCAACTCTCTGGCCATCATCAGATGTCCATTTGATATATTTTCTCCCTGTGATACCAGTTATTGTTCATTCCTGCTGAATTGGTACTTCACTATCTGATCCAGGGATTGAACTCCCAACCACTAGATAACTAGATGAATTACAAACCCCCTATATCCACTACACTACTTTCCTTATCAACAAAAATGAGAACAGTAGTTGAAAAATAATGCAAAAATATTCACAATTACTCATCTCGGAAATAAAATACTAAATTATGAAGTAAACTTGTCCAAAAATCAAAACTGTGTTTTTTTTTTTTGGTTTTTTTTCTTAAATCTTTTTCCATTCTTTCTTTCTTTTTTTTTTTTTTTTCTCCCAATCAACCCAAGACCTTCGGCCAGTTGTGTGCAGGTTCTTCAACAAGACAACCATTTTCCTGTCTCCAGTCTTGGATGGAATCCAAGTGGGGACTTACTGCTGTCTGTCTCACCAATGGACACAGCAATCATGGTGAGTTATTTATTCCATGGGTCAATCAGAAAATGATAAAGGGTTAAGTAAAAAAAAAAAAAAAAAAAATTTCCTATTTTCAAACATTCTAAAATGATTTGTTTCTGCAAGATATACATTACACTGGTTACATCCCCTGCAGAGGAGGTAAAAAAAAACAGGAAAGGGGCCACTTACCAAATAAATCTTCCACCTAGCTATGGATTAAATAGTAAAACTTGTATCTGCTAAAATCAGTTATTGTCAAAAATTTGTTAATGCAATATTTACTTGTAAAAAAAAACTATATTCCTACAATAGAACATATTATGGTTTTAAATAACCTGCAAAGTGTTGATAAACCATAAAAAAAAAAAAAAAATCAAACTCTAAAGAAAAAATGTTTAGGCAAAAACCACCCTTTGAACATTGTGGACTGTCATTATGGAATTACAAAGAACTATGCGAAATAAGAGACCATATCATTTGAGGACTACCAACAGCTGCAACAACAGAAATGGAGAACATAAGAAAATAATGACATCAAGATGTTAACATTCCCAACCACTTTAAATAGAAGATTGGAAAGCAAACAATTTTTATATAAAATCAATTAAATCAACCAGCTTTTGCTTGGCTTAAAATTCTTTCAATGATCATCTTTTTTTATTTCAATAAAGCAGCAAAGATGCAAGGTGTTATCGACAATGAAGGAAACTGTTTTTTTAAATTTACAACTACTAAACTGACAATAGTAGGTAGGAACAAAGAACCCGTGAGGAGGGTAACCAAAAAAAAATCCGGTGTCGCACGTCTAACCTTCTCATGAGCCAAAAGCTCTCTGATCCGAAAACAGCAAAACGATCAGGGGCTTTATACAGCCGAGGACCCACTATGATTTACATGAGAATGGCGAATAATTTAGAGATTTGAAAGAAACTAACCGAGATATCCCAAAAAAAATTTTGGGCGCCGCCATTTTGGTTCCTTTTTACCGCTGGAGAACTGGAGTTTTAACACAATCTTTCAGATTCGCAGGTGTTTCCGAGGTAGGCCATTTTCACAATTTTCCCCACAAAGAAAATGTTGAGAGAGGGGACATTAAAGGACTAGGATTCAAGTGGACGCATAAAGAAGATTAATATTGCATTTAAATTTTTGAAGATTATACTTGACAGAAAACCAAGAAGCCGGAAGAGTTCTACAATTGAGAAGTGCGAGAGAAGAAATTGTTAGCATAGAACTTACGGTTACACTTAGCAGTTACCTTTTATTTAGTTATTTCACTGCCATCCATTGGGCATGATTATCAATGGTGGGGGGGGGATAAGGAATCTGTAGCTTTCTGTCAAAGACTGTTTCCCCCTCCAACAACATCTCAACTCTAAATATTCAAATCCTGCATCTGAACATATTGATTCTGCGATACAACATTAGTATATAGATGCAGGCATTAAATGCTTGTTCCAGTTCGGCTACAGACGTATTCACACACAGCACATTAGCGAAAGTTATTCTGTCACTACCATTCCTCTTTCATTCAGAAAATATTTTTGGTATTTTAATTCTTTATCCCAACCCTCTGGCCAGATCCACTCTTCATTATTCCTATTATTTTATTACTAGTTTGATTCCATCTTATTATTGATGCTTTTTATCCCAACCCTCTGGCCAGATCCACTCTTCATTATTCCTATTATTTTATTACTAGTTTCATTCCATCTTATTATTGATGCTTTTTATCCCAACCCTCTGGCCAGATCCACTCTTCATTATTCCTATTATTTTATTACTAGTTTGATTCCAATCTTATTATTGATGCTTTTTTATCCCAACCCTCTGGCCAGATCCACTTTCATTATTCCTATTATTTTATTACTAGTTTCATTCCATCTTATTATTGATGCTTTTTATCCCAACCTCTGGCCAGATCCACTCTTCATTATTCCTATTATTTTATTACTAGTTTGATTCCATCTTATTATTGATGCTTTTTATCCCAACCTCTGGCCAGATCCACTTTCATTATTCCTATTATTTTATTACTAGTTTCATTCCATCTTATTATTGATGCTTTTTATCCCAACCTCTGGCCAGATCCACTTTCATTATTCCTATTATTTTATTACTAGTTTGATTCATCTTATTATTGATGCTTTTATCCCAACCCTCTGGCCAGATCCACTCTTCATTATTCCTATTATTTTATTACTAGTTTGATTCCATCTTATTATTGATGCTTTTTATCCCAACCTCTGGCCAGATCCACTCTTCATTATTCCTATTATTTTATTACTAGTTTGATTCCATCTTATTATTGATGCTTTTTATCCCAACCCTCTGGCCAGATCCACTCTTCATTATTCCTATTATTTTATTACTAGTTTGATTCCATCTTATTATTGATGCTTTTTATCCCAACCCTCTGGCCAGATCCACTCTTCATTATTCCTATTATTTTATTACTAGTTTGATTCCATCTTATTATTGATGCTTTTTATCCCAACCCTCTGGCCAGATCCACTCTTCATTATTCCTATTATTTTATTACTAGTTTGATTCCATCTTATTATTGATGCTTTTTTATCCCAACCCTCTGGCCAGATCCACTTTCATTATTCCTATTATTTTATTACTAGTTTGATTCCATCTTATTATTGATGCTTTTTATCCCAACCCTCTGGCCAGATCCACTCTTCATTATTCCTATTATTTTATTACTAGTTTGATTCCATCTTATTATTGATGCTTTTTATTCCAACCCTCTGGCAAGATCCACTCTTCATTATTCCTATTATTTTATTACTAGTTTGATTCCATCTTATTATTGATGCTTTTTATCCCAACCCTCTGGCCAGATCCACTCTTCATTATTCCTATTATTTTATTACTAGTTTCATTCCATCTTATTATTGATGCTTTTTATCCCTACCCTCTGGGCAGATCCACTCTTCATTATTCCTATTATTTTATTACTTGTTTCATTCCATCTTATTATTGATGCTTTTTACCCCTAGCGTTCTAGCCAGATCATTATTATGAAGGTTACTGATAGCCCAACTAAAATGCCATTCCAAAATCAATTTCAATGCTTGTTCCTTTCGTCAAATTTTGGGAATTGATTGAAATGTCTCTGATCCTAATATTTTATTCTGATATTTCTTTTCATTTCTTCCAAAGGTATGGAATGTTGCCATGGAAACTGCAGTGCCTTTGCGACGAATTGGTGGTGGTGGCAACACAATGTTAGCCTGGTCCCCAGATGGTTTCCGGGTGATGTCTGCTTCGCCTTCTTCCATTTTCAGGTATTTTTATTTTATTTTTTATTCCTCAAAGAGTGAAAAAAAGTAAGTTGTGGACAACCAGGATTCCCCACATCCCGAAGGGACTCAGCACATAGAATAATCAGACATCACTTTTGACCAATATTCTTGAACTTTCTGGAGAGCATGTCTAAAAGAAATGGGAATTAGAAAATTTATTTCCGTCGTTAAACTAGAAAATAGGAAAATGTCAATTGTTTTTAGCAAATTGCCATTAACTCTTTGAGTCCTGCGTTCCTGAACAATTTTAACCTTTCTGCCTGAGCTCCGGAGTCAAAATTTGCAGATAATTGGTATGTAATGTTTCACGGTAGATATAAAAATAGTGTTTACCTACCGATCATCCGGTAACTGTGCATTACGTCATTTTTCTCTACCACCGGTAAAGCGGTGGTCAAGGCTCAAAAGGGTTAATATGCAGTAATCCTGGGGTGGGGGATCAGTTTAGTAATTAATGACAATAGAAAAACGATTCTCCACTTTGTCCAGTAGAATCTTATATTAATGTCAATCATGATTCGGAAAAAAGACATGGTCACCAAAGCATGCAACACGATGATACCAAAGGAAGGATATTAATCCTTTGAGCCCTGTGTTCCTGAACAATTTTCACCCTTCTACCTGAGCTCCTGGGTCAAAATTTGCAAGTAATCAGTATGTACTGTTTCACGGTAAATATAAAAAATAGTTACATGTGTTTACCTACCGTTCAACCAGTGGCTGGGAATTAAGTCATTTTCCTCTACCACTGTTGAATCAGTGACTGGGCATTACGTCATTTTTCTCGTTCAACCATTGGCTAGGCATTACATCATTTTTCTCTACCTCTGGTAAAGCAGTGGTCAGTGCTCAAAGGGTTAATAAAAAAACCTTAAATCATATGTTCTTTAAGTTACGGCTTTCTAAATTCTCTGTCACATGATAGTAATTTGACTTACACCGATGTGCCAAAAGTCATAGGATAGCAGTATGTCAAGATAATGATTGGTGGCGCCACCATAACATATCAGTTGGCATCAGAACTACATGACTCCCCAATCACAAGTATACAGACCAACAACTAGATACATACTATATATGGTTTTGTTGTTAGTTGGTCTCCAAGAGGTCTCCTCGAATTTTCCGTTCTCCTTTGACCAATGATAATGCCACTTAGAAAATTTCAAAGAACCATTTGCTGGCCATGAAACAGAAGTAAGTGAGATCAAGATAAAATCACTTCCTCCTCCTACATTGGTATTCATAGTATCACAATAACTTAAAATTATATGCCTCTGTTTTCTTACCACAATGGAACCCAGTTCTTCTGATCGATAATATCTTCAAATGTAAATGTTATAAATGTAAGGCTATTGTTAAAAATAACTTTATATTATAAAAAATGAATATGAAATTCATTGACTTGAAATTCCTATCATTCACTGCTCATCTGGATGACAGAAAGGCTTGAAGAAAGATGGCAGAAAGACATAAGTTATTAAGAGCTACAAGAGACCGGAAATTGTATAGTCATGATTGCCAGTGTCCTGGAGAAACATGGCAAATAGAAAAAAATAGTTTGTAAATCAGGAAAGTGGTGAACAGCTTAATATTTGGAGATCAAAGTACTTTGCTGAACTGATCTAACATGCAACGGACATGTCAATCACCTACCAGAACTGACCCTCCAATTCCAAGCATAGCTATCATTATAGACCAGCACTCGGAAATAAGCATTGTCCAGTTAAGGGAGGTAATCAATAGTAAGTTTGAAAGAATTAGTAGCAGCTTCTGGAAAGTTATGACAGCTTATAGAATAATCTGGAATATTGTATGCTTATAAAATCATCTTATCTTATCTTTTCTTTCTATTCAGGGTTTGGGAAAGCAAGACATGGAGTTGTGAGAAATGGACCTTATCATCAGGCCGTTGTCAGGTGAGGTGGTTTCTTTCATTGTTTTTAAAATAAGCATTATTTAGAATCACCTGTGCTTTCTGCATGAAAAATTGCACAAGGATTTCATATTGGCCTTGTCTGGCACAAGGCCTGATTCATAATGAAACATGTTTAACCGTTGGCACCATCTGATCAGGTTTCATGGCTGACCATCAAGAAACTGCTAAGGTTTTTCATTTTTTCTCTTTTTTTTTTTTCCTCCCCCTCTACTATTCTTTTCCTGCTATTCTTTCCTCCCCTTATTCTTTTTTTACTATTCTTTTCCTCCCCCTTATTCTTTTTCCTCCCCCTCTACTATTCTTTTCCTCCCCTCTACTATTCTTTTCCTCCCCCTCTACTATTCTTTTTTCCCCCCCTACTATTCTTTTCCCCTCTACTATTCTTTTCCTCCCCCCCTCTACTATTCTTTTCCTTATTCTTTTCCCCCCCCCCCTCTACTATTCTTTTCTCCCCCCTTTATTCCTTTTCCCCCCCCTCTACTATTCTTTTCCTCCCCCCCTACTATTCTTTTTCCCCCTCTATTCTATTCTTTTCTTTTCCCCCCTCTACTATTCTTTTTCCTCCCCCCTACTATTATTTTTTCTCCCCCTCTACTATTCTTTTCCTCCCCCTCTACTATTCTTTTCCTCCCCCCTCTACTTCTTTTCCTCCCCCTCTTTTTTTTTCCCCCCCTCTACTATTCTTTTCCTCCCCCCCTCTACTATTCTTTTCCTCCCCCCCTCCCCTTTCTCCCCTCTACTATTCTTTTCCTCCCCCCCTCTACTATTCTTTTTCCCCCTCCCCCTCCCCCTCTCTACTATTCTTTTCCTCCCCCCTCTACTATTCTTTTAAGGCTATCTTTTCTGTCTATTTCTATTTTTTTCAATTATAGTGAATTTTGCCTGGCTTTTAAAATCATATTTTTCTAGGCGAAAATGTAGTTCCACAGGAAATAATCTTTCATGGGGAGCCAACTTGATCCGATTCCAATAATTATTAATTCTGTAGTGAAAGGGCCATTCAGATTTTCTCACATATTGTTTCTGGCATAGTGTGCATTCTGCTAGTGAACGAATTGGTATGTCTAATGCAGTTACAGCATAGGCTCCTTTTTGTTGTTATATATATATAATTTCTGACCTTATGCTCCCCCCCTTTAACTTTAGGAAAAGAGGTAACCATTTGTTTTTCAATTTCCCTAAGAAATCATTTTATAACCAGTTACCTACCATCACCTGAGAAAGTACAATCATAGTATTGAAACATGAAAGCTTTTGTGTAACAATTTAAAAATGTCTTTATTATAACCTCTTATAATAAAAATATAATAATAATATTTTTTTTAAAAAGTAAATGCTGGACAGAGCGAGAATTTGGGTTCATTCGAAAAGTGGTAACCAGCTTAACATTCAGGAATCAAATAACTTTGAACTGATCTGATAATTTCCTAAGTTCAACTGTAACCTACAATTTTTTTTTTTTTTTTTTTTTTTTTTTTTTTTAGGTGGGGGGGGAATTTTCAATTCTGTATTTACAACAATGCTTTGCTTGCTTGCTTTTTTTTTTTTTTTTTTTTTTTTTGTTAGCTAAATGTTCATCCAATGCAAGACCCAAGAAGCACTCAAGGTAGAAAGTCACTGAATAACGTTATTGTATAGGCATAGAAGAGAAGCAGATACATATTATGAGGATATGCAGGATAAATATTGGTTGACCCTAGACTTAGAAAGGTTAAGATTGTAGTATCCTCTTGAGTCTCTTCCAAAAAGTTGCAGTTCTCAAGAAGCTGAGTAGAACTTCCTCCTTACCAATGCAATGCAAAGGGAATGAGGATGTGTGGCATGGTGGATCCTAGCTGAACCAAGAACTGAGAAATCCTCTTGTCGTCCAAAGTAGTTTTGCATAAGAAAAATTGTGATTGGTCAAGACAGGTAGGGAAGCACAAACAATTGCCATATTTCAAGGCCTACTGAAGCCATTCCAATCTTGATTCTGATTTTTTTTTTTTTTTGTCTTTTGTTTGTTTTTTGTTTGTTTGTCTGTCACCAAATTCACAAGCCAATACTTTAATCTATTCGGCTATTGTCCTATGAAAGTAGTCATCATTGTGGACACAATCCGTCCTCGTATATGGCAGTGAATACTTCAGTTTCCTCACAGATAAAGAAGTGAGGCTTGAATCAATAGAAATGTGGTTCTACAGAAGGATGTTGAGAATACAATGGACAAAAACCTGTGAGCAACAGCAAAATTCTAGAGACCATGGCAACAAAAAAGATCACTTATACTTAACATCAAGAAGAGACAATTGAGGTTTCTGATATACGTAATGAGAAAAGAGGGCTTAGGAAATTTAATACTTACAGGGCAGACTGACAGAGACATTGGAAAATAATGCACATACTTGGTGAGGTTGGGTAAATGGATGTCAGAAGGATTTGGTAGAGATAACAAAAAGACTAAAAATATTACGAGCTACAAGGGGCAGGAAATTATAGTCATGATCACCAACATCCTGGAGAGACACAGCACATAGAAAAAAAAAGTTTGTAAATCAGGAAAGTGGTGACCAGCTTAACATTCAGGGATTGAAGAATTTTGCTGAACTGATCTGTTAAAGTTAAACAATGCATTGACTACACACCGTAACGTGTTAGCAGCAATTGAATTGCAAGGATAGGGATATTTGTCTGAAGAGCTTTTGGAATTATGATGGTGATTTGATTTTGGTATTCCAGGTGACACTCTCTTTTAACCTGACGAATATGCAATACCTTCATGTGTTGCATGTTCGTCTAAAACTAATTAGAAAACTAATTGAATGACTTACCTTGAAATGCTGTCATTACAGACTGCTTGTTGGAGCCCAAACAGTGATACTCTGCTCTTTGCTATGGATACGGAACCTCTTGTGTATGCAGTCACGTTTTCAATGACCAAAGAAGGAGGTGAAATTACCGGAAGCAGATCGGCTCGGATATTTCTAGATCTTTCCATGGTCAGCCATTCTTCAGTGAATGATGAACAGATTAAGTAAGTTGTTAATTTACATTCACCATGTAAATGCATGTGTACATGCACTCTTGTGCAAATTAATTGAAACTATATATATTTTTTTTAGACCCACTAGAGTGACAGGGTGTAATTGATTTCTTTTTCCTTAGATTAACAGTAATATGAATCTATTTTTGGTACGTATGATGAAATTCGTTTGGCCTTGAAAAATATTCTGTTCATCCATGATTGCATCAGAATTTTATCATGCCTGGTCACTATTGTCTTGACTGTCGATTAGTTGTCCTATGGCCATTGTCTGTGCTGGACATTACTCCAAGGAATCGTATGAAAATTGTAACACTGCATGAGCACCCTGGCAAGCCTTACCAGTGAGCAAATCAAAATACTGGCTCGGAAACTCTCCTGATTTAAATCCAATTGAGAATCTGTGGTCTATCTGCAAGGAACCACTTTATGGAATGGACACACAAAGTAGTAATATGTGCACTGGGTCATGTTTCATTAGAAAAATACAAAAAGGAATTAACAGAATTATTTGTTTTGTTTCAATTAATTTCCATAAGGGTGTACTATATGTGGAAATTGTTTTTATCTTTTTTTGTCTTTGTTTTTTTTTTTTTTTTTTTAATGTAGTGACTTTTAACAAGAAAAAAGAAATATCAATTTTTTTTCTCAATATCAAGTTTTTTGTATTTATTAGATATATATATTTTTTTTTTTTTTTTTTTGGTAATCTTTCATGTAAGCAGTGTAAAGTAAACTACCATTCCCTGAACAGCATAAAATCAATAAGAACAATGTGTGTGTGTGTATATATATATATATATATATATACACACACCTTGTTTTTATTGATTCTTGCTGAAAAGAACATTCTAAATTTCAATTAAAAAAAACCTTGTTTCTCTTTGTATCAGCGGAACTAGTAAATAACATATACAATTTTTAGCATTTTTTTTTTTTTTTTTTTTTTTTTTAATGACAGACATTAACCTGAAAAAATCTTGCAAAAATAAAAACAATTGTCTGATATTAATGTAACTTTCAGAAACTATTCACAAATGATAGAAATTATTACAAATATTTTTTCTTTTTTTAAAGTCATAGCAAATATTTTTTTTATATTAACTTTTTAAAATTTATTTTATAATTGCCAATTTTTTTTATGCTGTTATTTTTATTTTTTCAGATCATAGAAGAAATTTTTTTCAGAAACTTACAGAAATTGACAAATTTTAATAATTTAAAAAAAAAAGAGAGAAAGAAATAGACTTGACTTTATTAAATAGAATATCCTTCTTTTTTTTTTTTTTTTTTTTTTTTTTTTCACAGGATTGGTGGTTCAATACAATATTTGGCATGGGACCCAACAGGCTCCAGACTTGCTGTGTTATTTAAAGGTCAGCCTTTTAATTTTTCAAAAACTGCATTAACAAAACAAATTTAAGTGAAATATTAAATGGATGATTTATACTATTCATAATTTTTTTTTTTCCTTGTTATTAAAAACAAGTTTAATTTGATGAGTGAAAGTGATTAGGGTTAGGTTTTTTTATTATCATTATCTCTGTTATCATTATCTCTGTTATCATTATCTCTGTTATCATTATCTCTGTTATCATTATCTCTGTTATCATTATCTCTGTTATCATTATCTCTGTTATCATTATCTTATCTCTGTTATCATTATCTCTGTTATCATTATCTATCAAAAAATCTCTGTTATCATTATCTGTTATCATTATCTCTGTTATCATTATCTCTGTTATCATTATCTCTGTTATCATTATCTCTGTTATCATTATCTCTGTTATCATTATCTCTGTTATCATTATCTCTGTTATCATTATCTCTGTTATCATTATCTCTGTTATCATTATCTCTGTTATCATTATCTCTGTTATCATTATCTCTGTTATCATTATCTCTGTTATCATTATCTCTGTTATCATTATCTCTATCATTATCTCTGTTATCATTATCTCTGTTATCATTATCTCTGTTTATCTCTGTTATATTATCTCTGTTATCATTATCTCTGTTATCATTATCTCTGTTATCATTATCTCTGTTATCATTATCTCTGTTATCATTATCTCTGTTATCATTATCTCTGTTATTTATCATCATTATCTCTGTTATCATTATCTCTGTTATTTATCATTATCTCTGTTATCATTATCTCTGTTATCATTATCATCATTATCTCTGTTATCATTATCTCTGTTATCATTATCTCTGTTATCATTATCTCTGTTATCATTATCTCTGTTATCATTATCTTGTTATCATTATCTCTGTTATCATTATCTCTGTTATCATTATCTCTGTTATCATTATCTCTGTTATCATTATCTTCTGTTATTTATCTCTGTTATCATTATCTCTGTTATCATTATCTCTGTTATCATTATCTCTGTTATCATTATCTCTGTTATCATTATCTCTGTTATCATTATCTCTGTTATCATTATCTCTGTTATCATTATCTCTGTTATCATTATCTCTGTTATCATTATCTCTGTTATTTATCTCTGTTATCTCTGTTATTTATCATTTATCTCTGTTATCATTATCTCTGTTATCATTATCTCTGTTATCATTATCTCTGTTATCATTATCTCTGTTATCATTATCTCTTATCATTATATCTCTGTTATCATTATCTCTGTTATCATTATCTCTGTTATCATTATCTCTGTTATCATTATCTCTGTTATCATTATCTCTGTTATCATTATCTCTGTTATCATTATCTCTGTTATCATTATCTCTGTTATCATTATCCTGTTATCATTATCTCTGTTATCATTATCTCTGTTATCATTATTCTGTTATCATTATCTCTGTTATCATTATCTCTGTTATCATTATCTCTGTTATCATTATCTCTGTTATCATTATCTCTGTTATCATTATCTCTGTTAATAAAAATTAGACCCTCCCCCACACATACTTTTGTTAGTTTGTCGGGCATGCCGTTTATATCGTATGGGGTGCATTGGCATTTGTGTGTATATCTCTGAGATTAGGTATTATGACTACTTGCTCTATTTACATTATTCGAACTGTTATCCTCATTGTACACTCCGCCCTTTTTCATGGGATTGGAATTTTGAATCAAACCCTTTATTTCAGTTATTTCCCTTTTAACTGAACTTTACAAGTTGTTGCCTAGTATTAGTCACTGGATCTAACCAACGTCTTTATCAACTGGGCCATGTGCCCTTGAGGACATCTGTGTATGAATTTTGGGGACTTATAAAACCTAATGTCTCAGCACCGTTTTTTACCAGTGCTCATAATGCAGTTTTTTTTCTGTAATTATTATTATTGCATTTTTTGTGTGTGCGTATATATTTCTACAGAATTAATGGGCTTATTTTTAATCTGACATTTATATTACATTATTATGGGGTAATGTAACTGAAATTGTCATCCAATCTTTTTAGTCAAACGGTGTTTATTACATCTGTTTGAGAAATCTTAGTAAAGAGAATGTGTTATTTGGCAGGGGATCAAATCTAGGGGATGAAGGTTCAATCCCAGCCACATTTTCCTTACTAAGATTTTATTGAATACATGGGCCAGTAGATGTAATAAAGGACAACTGAATGCATCATATGTTATTGAGATATATATATTTATAGATATATAAATGTAGGCCATTCTGATTGGTTGATGTGAATTAAAATGAAACAAACCCTCCAACCATCTTTCTTTCTTTTGCTTTTCTTGTAAAAAGAGGGTGTATCTTGTCTCTTCCTTTCTTACCATTTTTCTTTTCTTTTCTTTTCTTCTCATTAAAAGAGGTTTCTTGTTTTTAAATTTCAATAAATTGTCTACTCACCAGTTATTTACTAACATCTGATGAGATGTGTTAATATGTATCGATGTGTATCTGTGCCTAGCCTTGGATTGTTTATATGGATGTGTTTGTGTGAACTAAAATGCATACACCTGTTTGTATGTGTGTGTGTTTGTGTATGAGAGTGTCATCTCAATCACACAGAAGTAAATTCCCCTCTCGCCCACAAACATAGTCAAACAGGCATAAACATATCCAATTTAAAAGAAAAAAAAAAATAAACCAGTTTCTCTGATGATTGCAAATGCTTGAAACCCTGGATCACAAATTCATATCCATACAACTGAAAAAAAAAAAAAAAATATATATATATATATATATATGTGTGTGATTATTTATTCAAAAATTATAACATAAATTTTTGTTTATAATTTTCAAATAAATACTTATATTTGCTCAACTCTGTATTGAGCACTCTTTTAAGAATAGTATTTTTTTGTTTTTGGAATTTATTTCATATACCCCAATCATATATATATATATATATATATATATATATATATATATATATATATATGATTGTGTGTTTGCATGTTTGTGCAATCCAGCTTTGAACTCTTAACTGAGTTTACAAGAAAGCAATATTTTTACCCACTTGCTTGTTCATTATTGTTAGATGTACCTGTCACACTTAATGGGTGTGCAGATGGTGCACTGGATAGCAGCTCAGAATGAGAAAGCAGAGTTCAAATTCCAGTCACGTTCATTATATTCACTTGTGTGCAAATACCTTGGGGAACAGTACGAATCCATCTCAACTATGTGTTAAATCGTAGGATGTGTATCTGTAAAAAAATTATATTCAAAATGTTGTTAATGCAATATTCACTTTCAAAAAAAAAGAACTATTCTTGCAATCCAAAAATGTTTGTTTTAAATAATCCACAAGGTGGATTAAAAAAAAACAAAAAAAAACAATGCACACCTATTAATTGGAATGGTAGCAACATGTTGAAATGACTCCTATAGATGTCTATGTAGCAATGCAGTGTGTGGAGTTCATTATAAGCTTGTGATATTTCTCCAACGTCACTTCTAGTTGTCTGGTGAATCTTTGTCAGTATATATTTTTAAGAACTTGCAGCCAAGGAAGGCGGAAGAGTGTATCTGCCAAAATGTAATAAAAACAACAATGATAAAAATACTTGTGTAAATGATGGTAATTATTCAGTCTTGTTCAACAGACATTTATTAGAACAAGAGAGAATCTGAAAATAACCCCTATAGATGTCTGTGTATCAATGCTATTATATTTTGTTTTTCCTGTTTCAGAATCAATGGGCTGTAAGAAAAACCTTTTGGCTGTCTTCCGTACAACAAATTCATTTACGTTGGATGCCACACCTTGGTGAGTTGATCAGGAAACTTTGATTTTTTTTTTAAATTCCTTTTGATAAACTGGTATTGTGGCCAGTACAGGTAACTTTTTATGACACATTGCAGTTTTTGAAAAGAAAGGTAATCAATTTTTTTCTTCATTTGAAATTATTTTGTTGATATCTGCAATTGGGTACCTATTATATTATCCACTGTGGTCAGTTTCACCAAAGCAAATAAAAACTTTTTAATTTTTAAAAAATTAATGCCATGTCCCTTAACAATAGGCAATTGTGACTATCTATATATCTTTCTTTATTATCAGTAAATTGCCATGATTATATATATATATATATATATATATATATATATCCCATCGCTTAGTAGTACAAAAACTATTTACTGTAAATCCAAGAAAAACGCACACCGTGGCTTTTATAAGAAAGACCACATAGTAGGAATTGATATTAAACTACAAACAAAAATCCTGACCATAAATAAACTCCAAACCCAGACTGCTTCCACCCGGTATAAGATACCTTACACCCCCACCATTTGCTAACACAAACCCACTCTCATTAACAAGATGTCTACTAGAGGAGAACTAACTTGAAAATAAATTTAGAATGATGTTCTGAGACAAGCTGATGATAGCCATGTGAATGGTTTGAAATAGACTATACCTATGTTGAAGTAAATTTTTTTTTTCTGTAAAAAATACATATGCTCTGTTAAAATAAAGCATCAAGATCTTTGTAAATCAGTTTTAATAATTAAAATTACTAGGACCCACCTGGATTATATACCAATAGATTGATTACCTGCTATATATATATATATATATATATATATATATATATATATATATATATATATATATATATATATATATATAGAGAGAGAGAGAGAAAGAGACCTGTTTCATTGAATATTTTAGATAAGTTTTGTCTACTTATTTTCAATTGGATCCTTTCATATTCACAGTTAAGTAAAAAAAAAAAAAAAAATTTTAACTTTTAGACACAGCTATTTTGTCTTTGAAAATGATGAGCACTACAATATTCATCTCAAAATAAACAACACTCTGATAACGACATTGTGCTATGAAGAAAGTACTCAGAATAAAATAATATGTATCAACACGATAATTTTCTCTCTTCATTAATAACATGAAAAAGTTTGTCCATGAATAAAAAAAAAAAGGATCAAATTAAAAATGAGTAGAGGCAGAACTTGTTTAAATTATTCAAACAAACATGTCTCAATGAGAACATTCTACCAAAATATAGGCTATATATATATATATATATATATATATATATATATATATTCTTACACACACTATGCCTCTAAAAAGAAATCACTTCTACAAATACAAGAAAAATATCAAAAGCTTGATTGCACTGATTTTTCATTCATCTTCAATGAAACTGACTGGCATTTGTTTACATTCGTAAAAACGATATGCTAGAATTAGCAGTTTCTCTCTGCTGAGTGCTGATGGCCTAGGGGTAGAAAATCCGACCGACACCAAATCGGTCAGGTTTTGACCCTGGCTTTAGCTTTCGGATGTCTAGTCACACTGAGAAACTGATACAGCAAAACAGTACTGTCTGCGAATGATATATATATATATATATATATATATATATATATATATATATACGCACACTATATATTAAATAACGTGGTAGATTTGTCCCTTTTAGTCTTGATAGTCAAGGACGATAACTGTTATGAGCCAACACCACAGATTGGTGTTATATGGACCAGCAAGGCAGGGGGACATTCCTTACTGCTCTTGTCTGTGACAAAGAAAAATCATACAAAAGTTCTATTGGTTTTCTTGTTTAGTAACTGCAGCCTACAAAGACTTAAGAAGCCCTTTTGCCTTCCAGTTACTTCCTGGGAAATTAAAGGTTCACAACATTTTTAATTTAACCCCCTCCCCTTTTATCTCCTTGTCTTTGTTTAATGTCTGTTTTCATTTGCAGTGGCTGGGTTAAAGGTGACGAATCCGACTCTGCGCAATTCATTTGTTTCAAACCCAAATTTGATGATGGTGCCCTACTGACTGTGGTGAGTTGTTGCATAAAATTTGGATGAAAGTGTAGATACTGTTTTCAGTGACACCTCAAAATTTTACTTTTTTTTTTTTCTTTCTTTTCATCAATAATCAACAGCTGATTTACAAATATTGCTGCTTTGTGTTTATAAAAATGAATATCCACTTTTTAATATATATTGTGCATGTGAGGAAGATAGGCACACACTCATTAAAAAGAGAAACCGCAAACATTTTTGGTTGTAAATTTCAAACAGTTACTAGGTGTTATCTGATTGCATCTTCTTAATCTACATGATTAAAGAAACTTAGCAGTTTTTATTTCATCAAAATATCTCAAACCGTTTAATTTTAGCAGATTTTTTTTATTTTTTCACATGTGCTCGACATTTTTTTGTCTATTATGAATTAGGACAAAATACCATATTTGGACTCCTATATTTTAAAAAGCAATTAAGAACAACAGTTAAAATTATACTAGCTTTTTAGGTACATAATAAAATTACAGATAGTATCACTGCATATTAAATAAATTGTCTGAATATGCAAATTTTATAAATCAAAACTTCTGCAAAGATGTGCAAACAACTCACAACCTGAGGTTTGACATTTCATAAAACTGGAAATAACACCCACATTCATCCCAAATTTAAAATATCACATTATAACTATACCAGTAACATGCCTAATGTTTTGGGGGGGAGTGATAGAATGGATATATTCTGGATTATTCCACTTCAAAATTGAAAAAAATTGCTTTTTAACCCTTTGTCACAAGGTATTTGAAAGGCCAATTTTAGACTTGCTTGAATTATCATAAAATGAATACTTCTTACACTAGAAACACCAAATTTCATATCTAGCCATTTCTGGGGGTGCTCTTTCCATTTATCATGGTTAAAATGACATAAGATCAACAGATTAGAATGTATATGGAGCAGATACTGAACAAGTACAGTCCTGACTCAACATAAACAATTTCTGGACTGTAGAGAGAGAGAAGCTTAACACACGCCAAGCAATACCCACTAATGAACATAAGAAAACAACAGAAAACTCACCATATCATGAAGTGATATTCAACCACTAAATTTGTAACTGAAATCATTAAAATAAAAATATTTTGTCACAATTTGATCAAAAAGTTGAAGTTCTGACACATGTTACTGCTTATCTAGGGATTGGAACTATGAAATCACCAAAGTGTCTCAATTTTTAAACTGTAATGTTCCTCTCACATTATGCACATAAAAATAAACAACACAGGCATAAAATTAATCAAAGTTTATTTGGAAATTTTCAGTAATGGTGGGCTGGGTGTTGGGATACCTCTTCACTGAGTAGTCAAAAGTAAGTCTTGGTATAATCTTCATACAATCCCTTCAAATAATCTAATTGAGGCACTAACCAAGTTCTTCTAGTCTGACTAGTATATCTTTGCTGGTGTATCCAGTTTATATAGTTCAAGTATGAGCCCATTTGTTACTTCGCACATAAAAGCATTGGATCCGACAAAACACTGAGGAGTCAATCCAACACTTTCACATCTTTCACCTATGAACCCCAAATTTGTTACCTCATGGTACAATGCAGGACGATCCACTTTTGGACAATTCTGAACTTCTGCTACAACTTTCTCAATAAGGTGTATCCATCTGTTCTTAGGAAAGATTGGGAACAATTTATGTAGCCAAGTAATCATCATCTTCAAAAAGAAAAAAAAAAATGAATTTATAATCCTATCCCATTTTGTCGAAGTATTACTTAATAGTCATCTACAAATTATTGTCTACGTTTTCTTACTGAATTTGAGTTTATTTGCAGTTCATAAAAAAAATTGTCCTAAATACAATCAGAGATAAATATAAATTTAGAGTCATCCATACACCTGAGTAACAAATAAGGAAATACTAAAATATTTTCTCAACAAACCTATTTCCACAATGGTCTTTAAAACTGACACATTAAAATATTTTAGGATAAAATAAACAATCATACTCTGTATAAAATAAATATTACTAAGAAATAATAATAAATTAGGAAAATGAATTCAAAAATCATAAAGTATAGTAAGAAAATTGTTTGAAGAGGTAACTTTAAACAAAATGTTACTTGGTAACTGAAATGCTCATAATTATTGTGAGAATACTACAAAAACATAAGACATTCTAGAATTTTTTTCTAGAATGTTTTTCTTATCTCATTCTTTGAATATGAACATTTTTTCGATCAATAAGTCTTTTTATTTTATTTTTTTTTTTTTTCGTGATTTGAATCTGAGCATAAAGTAAACAAATCAATTTTTGTTTCATATTTTTTTATGACAAAAACTGTTTTTAAATCCCATTTACATTTTACATATCAGAAAATTAATATTTAAAACAAATTCTTATCCTTTTCCTTCAAAATTTCGTCCATAGAAAATATGCGGGTCGATACTTGAGTGTCCATGTTGACGCTGTATATTGACTGTCGAGTGGAGTTGAAATGATGGCCGAGCAAGTCGCACATGGTTACACATAATCACACCCGCGCAAAATGGAACTATCGTTACATATTTGGTTTTGATTTAGTTTCATAGATTATTAAATGAGCATTTTAATGATATATCTTATGTTTTTATTTTCACAAGAAGCATTTGAATTTTACGATCAAGCTTTTCATTTGAATTGTTTACAAACTTTTTATTAAAATTAAAAAATATAAAATATATGAAAATGAAGCTTATAATGTTAACTTTCAAACTAACGTGTTACCAAAATTGTAATAAACCCTGCGGAGTGCGCTTGTTTCAAAATTTGAGGAAGTCTAAACTGCCGTCAGTGAAAAAAATGGCTAAAATTTTGTGAAATCACCAAAATGTCTATTTTTAAACTGTAATATTCCTCGCACACTGTAGTACATATAAAAATAAATAAGATAGAAACAAAGTTCATGAAATAAGCTTTTATTTGGTTTGCATTATGTTTTTATGGAGATATTGAATGAAATAACACGGCGAGTTGAATATATGCCTTTTTTAGTGTTTAGTTAAGAATTTCATCAGCTGTAAGCTGAGTGTTGGGATACCTACTATAAGACAAAAAAAAAAAAATGGGGTGTATAAATCAACAAGATTTATATAACCGAGGTTTATTCAGGAACGGTTTCGTATAAGAATCTGCTAGCGTTCAGACTAATGGCCATTCCCTTGTAGTCTAATTTTATGGCTCTTTGTTTCCAAGTTGGAGTCGGGATCTCAAACTTCTTCAAACAGCAAATTACAGAATACTGATAATGCATTTGTCTCTCTCTCTCTCTCTCTCACTCTCACACACACACACACATTATATAGAGATTTTCAATTCTTCCACTCTGCTCAATTTATCTAATAGCCTGGAACAAGGCATATGATCAGGAGTTCTTCATGCCAGCAAATCATATAACATAATGGAAGTGTATCTCTGCCTCAACTGCTGCTCTCTGTGTGTCTTCTCACTTCTCGGGATCTCTGCATGGCAATTTATGGAGTCCAACCTCCAAAAACCAGGTTCGGTTGGCTTGTTCTGGATTGCTTTCAAATCTCTTATCATCCAATCAAATCTCTCCACTGGTGCTGATGGGTGGCCCTTGTATTTCCAAATATAATATATAATCCAATAATAACATCCAATACAGCCATAAGCACATTACACCATTTGCACATCTTACAGCACCAAGCATTCCCAAGAAGTCACCCATCTAGGAATTGACCCGGCTTAACATTGTTTAACTTTGGAAACCAGTGTTTCAATATGATATGGCCATAATCCCTAGTGCCCAGTGAAGTAAATATAATGATGGTTGTTTACTCATTAGCAAGCATACATTAGGGCAGTGGGCCAATCCTTGTTGCAGACGCCTTCTCAGGCCCAACATTGGTTTATACTACAAATGTGTTGAACAGACATTAGTTACAGTTTATATCCACCTAATTTCTTTTTTTTTTTTTTTTTTTTGTTTGTTTTTTTTTTTTTTTTTTTTTTTTTTTGTATGAAATTCTGATTAGGTATGAAACCACCTGTTCTCCCCCCAATTATGGGTTAAATAGTAAAACTTGTATCACTAAACTGTTATTATCTCAGAAGAAAATTCTCATCTAAAAATATTCTCTGGCTTTAAATAACATGTAAAGAGTTGACAAGTTTTAAAAAAACAAACCAATCAATATGTATTTATTTATTTCTCACTCTCTCTCGTATGCAATATGTTTTCAGGTTTGGTCCAGTCAAGATTGATCCCTTTCGACATCGTGGGGACACAGAATGAACAATGGCTTGCAACACACCACTTTGAATTTTTTTTTTTTTTTTTTTTCCCTAAAAATTTGTTTTTTGTTATTTTTACCTTTATTTTATTTATTTATCGTTCTGAAAAAAAATGTTAGGGTGATTTCACCATTTTGACTGAGAAGGGCGGACTGAACGCACACAACCCATTGGATAGGCTCGGTCCAATCAATCGGCTGGTCCCGTCATACCCTAGCACATGGATCTTTCTTTTCTCCCGAACGTAGTATTCAATTTGCTTTTGCACACTCCCAACCCCCCCCCAACCCTTTTATCTTATATGTGTTAGAAGGCGGAGGCTGAGGGTCAATTTCTGATTAAGAGGAAAAATGGGCATTTTACTACTGACATTGATTAGATTGTGTTTTTACCAGAATTTGCACAGAGCCTGAAGAAATCTTGTTTTGACATAAAGTATACTGGAATTGTATCCCCGTCTCAGCCAAAAGATAACTCACCAAATGGGTTTTCCCCTTTGGCCTCTCATTCCCACCACAAGTTGGACTCCTTTCTGGTGGTGGTGAATAGGACCAATGAAAAATATATACTTATCATGAATTCTTCCTTCAAAAAATCCAAAAGGTATTTATCAGATTCCGACTCGGAGATTGACACAGAGTTTCTAAGATTCATTATTATTAACTCAGTAGAAGAAATCAAATTGGATAAGTTATCACCTCTCCTGATAGAGAAAATCATATCAAGTAGGTCGAATCCAAAAAAAATCTAAAAGA